TTCTTTCCCTAATGGAGCAAGTGTCCTTTCTCTCTGGTGAGGTGTACATGAAGAATTCCAGTCATAACTCTTTCGTTACCAGTGGTAGAAGATTTTATTGAGGTATCCCTAATGGAGTTTCTATCTCGGGATGTGGTTTCTCCCCCAAGTGAGAATCTTTTACCTCCCAGCAATGTTATCCCCAGGGTGTTCTGAGTAGAATTATTTTTATTTAAGAATTTCTATACTCTCCAACAGAAGTTATCTTCGTCAAGAATTTCTATGCCAGAAGTTTCCATTCCCAGCAAAGCTTTTCTCTTTCCAACAGGATAAATAATTTGATCCCCGTGAAAAGAGGAGTTTGATCAGAATTCAAGATTTTCACTGGACTATAATTTACTTTTGTAATGATCTTCCCAGGAAGTTACTTCCCTAGTGAGATCAATCGTTTAAACATTGATGATTTCAAATCTCGGTTCCCCATTGAAGTAAAAATTGCTTTTTCTCCACAGAAGATCAGATGTGCCAAAATAATTATCCAGAAGTTCACTGACTTCTCAGTAGTCGATTGTTGGCCTGTTTTCTTAATGCATTGCATCATTACATTGCATCTAATAAAACGCGTAGCACTTCCATTGCATGGAGCATCACGCTATAAAAAAAAGGTTCAAACATGCATGAGTAAGCCAATTGTGTCCACTTGTGGCAACCAGATTGTTACGCGCTCATATTTGATTTACCTCCACAAGAAGCCTAGGGTAATTCTATTATGTTTCCCCAGCAGAGTTTGTTTGGATTCACCACCAGTCGGGTCTTTGGTATTTCTCCATTTCCCCAGTAAGTTTGTGGTTTGCGCTTTTCTTTGCAAGCCTTCGATTATTTTACCCGCGTTTGCTCTGTCGTTAGAGTATGAGTAAGGGTTGGCTTATAACCTTTCTTGCTTCTCGAATGTTTGAGTATCCATACTTGGTGTGTGGTAATTCTGACAATTGCCACTCTTGAAGAATTAACACCCCGCCTTTGGCCTGAGGGATTTTTAGTTCTTGCGTATTTGTAACCTATCGAAAGCCTAACATGCAATCTTTGTTAGAGTCTGCTTTGACCAATCTCTTTCTCTTGTAAAGTTCACCTTCTATCAGTGCTCTTTGAAGGTCCTGCTTAGTCGGTTCCTTGTTTTGGTTTATCTGCGTTAGTCGGGTCCTCCTTTCGTTATCCTAGCTAATCTTTTATGTTAAGAGTCTTTCAATGTCTCTTCAAAGTCCAGTTGTCTGGCACCCTTGTTTAGGCGAATGCGTCCTTTTTTATTGGGGCTTTCTTCGGTTAGTCTTGTTCCTGTGTTCGCTAGCAATTCTAAACATTTGTTTCTTGATGATCAATTTCACTCTTGCATATCTAACTCTGACCAGATATGCATACCTTTATCATTTTTTGAGAGTCCCCTTCGGCTGGTCTCTTTGCAGTAGTAAGTTCGCCTTCGATCGGTGTTCTCTTATTAGGAATCTACCTTCGGCATAGTATTCCTAGATGAAGATTCCCCTTCGGCTGGTTTCTTTATCCTAAAGTCCACCTTCGGCTGGCATCCTTTAAAATCCACCTTCGGCTGGTACCATTTGTTGAGAGTCCCCTTCGGCTGGTCTCTTTGCAGTTGTAAGTCCGCCTTCGACCGACATTCTTTTCTTAGGAATCTACCTTCGGCATAGTATTCCTGGATGAAGATTCCCCTTCGACTGGTTTCTTTATCCTAAAGTCCACCTTCGGCTGGCACCCTTTAAAGTCCACCTTCGGCTGGCACCCTTTAAAGTCCACCTTCGGCTGGCATTCATTAAAATCCACCTTCGGCTGGTATCATTTTGTTGAGAGTCCCCTTCGGCTGGTCTTTTTGAAGTTGTAAGTTCGCCTTCGACCGGCGTTCTTTTCTTAAAATCCACCTTCGGCTGGTACCATTTGTTGAGAGTCCCCTTCGGCTGGTCTCTTTGCAGTTGTAATCCCGCCTTCGACCGGCGTTCTTTTCTTAGGAATCTACCTTCGGCATAGTATTCCTGGATGAAGATTCCCCTTCGGCTGGTTTCTTTATCCTAAAGTCCACCTTCGGCTGGCACCCTTTAAAGTCAACCTTCGGCTGGCACCCTTTAAAGTCCACCTTCGGCTGGCACCCTTTAAAGTCCACATTCGGCTGGCACCCTTTAAAGTCCACCTTCGGCTGGCACCCTTTAAAGTCCACCTTCGGATGGAATTCATTAAAATCCACCTTCGGCTGGTATCATTTTGTTGAGAGTCCCCTTCGGCTGGTCTCTTTGCAGTTGTAAGTTCTCCTTCGACCGGCGTTCTTTTCTTAAAATCCACCTTCGGCTGGTATCATTTTGTTGAGTCCCCTTCGGCTGGTCTCTTTACAGTTGTAAGTTCGCCTTCGACCGGCGTTCTTTTCTTAGGAATCTACCTTCGACATAGTATTCCTCGATGAGGATTCCCCTTCGGCTGGTCTCTTTATCCTGAAGTCTACCTTCGGCTGGCATCCCTTAAAACCCTGCTTCGGCTGGTATCTTTCAAAGTCCACCTTCGGCTGGTATCTTTCAAAATCCCGCTTCGGCTGGTATCTTTCTAAAATAACCCGCTTTGGCTGGTATCATTTGTTAAAATCCATCGTCGATTGGTATCATTTGTCAGGAGTCCCATTTGTTTGGTCTTTTCCCTCAGTAAGTTCACCTTTTATTGGTGTTTCTTTGCAAGAGCTTTCTTCGGTCTGTCTCTTTCTTATGTATCCTATATCGACCACGGATATATATCTTTTCTATATCTTTTGTGCATATGCGATACCGACCACGGATATGTATTTTTGATACTTGCTTCATATGTCTGCTACCAACCCCAGACATGTGTTCTTGATATCTTTGTAAGAGCTTTCTTCGGTCTGTCTCTTTCTTGCGTATCCGATACTGACCACGGATATGTATTTTTGATACCTGTTTTATATGTCTGCTACCAACCCCAGACATATGTTCTTGTATCTTTGATGTCTCTGTCGTACGTATCTGATACCGACCACGGATATGTATCTTTGATATCTCTTGTATGCGTATCCGTTACCGACCACGGATATGTATCTTTGATATCTCTTTTGTGCGTATCTGATACCGACCACGGATATGTATCTTTGATGTCTCTTTCGTATGTATCCGATACCGACCACGGATATGTATCTTTGATGTCTCTTTCGTACGTATCTGATACCGACCACAGATATGTATCTTTGATGTCTCTTTCGTATGTATCTGATACCGACCACGGATATGTACCTTTGACGTCTTTTTCGTCCGTATCCGATACCGACCACGGATATGTATCTTTTCTATCTCTTTCTTACGTGTCCGATACCGACCACGGATATGTATTTTTGATGTCTCTTTCTTGTATATCCACTACCGACCCCGGATATGTATCTCTGATACTTCTTTTCGTATGTCTGCTACAGACTTCAGGCATATATCTTTTGATATCTTTCTTACAGGTGTTTGTTACTAAATCCCAACAAGAGTTCCTCGATAACCAAGTTATCCTTCGGTGTGTCAAACTCTGGTTAAACATACATCTAACCCCTTTAACCTAGAAAGCAAAATAATATAATAAAAATAGATTCCGAAAAATAAAGATATAATAATACCTGACTGGCTTCGGAGTGCAAATTTTCGGGTTCTTTTAGTATTTAATCTTCCTCCACCCTAAAAGTTCGAAAGGCTGACGCCAATCTCACCTTCAGGTTGAAGGCGATTAAATAGGGGCAGCTGTTGCACCCCAAAATTTGCCCTCCTAGTTTCTTATATTTGGCTTAGGCTTAGCATTGCATTCATATCTTTTTATTAGGTCATTAACATACATTTGCATTCAATAAAGCACTTGAGGTTCAAAGTTCAGTGGTTGTACGATACTAGGGTTTCACAGTGGTTAAGGCGCTCGTATCCAATAAAGGATGATTTCTTATTCAGGCAGCAAGTGGTGGAATTAGTGTTTTGGTTCATTCTCATTTTTTGACTTCTTCTCCCTCAAGCAACAAGACTATTATCTTCTGATAAACAACATGTTACAGGTCTTTCTTGTCAAGAACTCAAGGGCATGACTTAGCATACATGGTCTTCAAATCAAGACGTTTCCTCATATAAGTGTGCATATCATTTGATCAGGCTTAATGACTTTGACGTGGCATTCATCCACTCTTCAATTAACCAATTTAGGTTTTGTCGAATCATGGTTCAGAGAATCATTGGTTGTGAAGCTCGGGTTTTCTTTTGGTTCGGAGTGTTTATCAAACAAGACTGATTCTTCTGGTGCATTGAATTGTGAATTTAGGGTTTTTAATTGATGGTTGTCGTGGATTTCTCCTTTATCAAGCTACGAGGTCTATTGGAAGATCATGCTTTGTTTCATTTCGAAGACATTTTGAACATTATTCTATCCATGTCTCAAGTCGCCACTGCGCACCTAATACAAGTGGGTGCTCTAGGAGGTAAAATCTTATTTACTATGCATAGCCACTCGATTGCTCCCATGACGGGAACCGTTTCCTCGCACAATTTAGAAAGCCTTTCTCTTGAAAGTTCATTTTCCATACTTTTCAAATGGGCCTTTAAAGAAGGAGAAGTAAGGAGGTGCCCACATTTGGTAAATATTGGAAGGGAAATTGTAAATAAATAAAATATGAAACAATTCAGTATTGGGGAAACATGAAAGGCAACGAAATTTGGAATTTACCGGACACATGTGGGATTTTACCTGCACTTAAGTTAAGCTATGATCAAATGTTATAGGATGTGAAAAAATGCTTTTCTTTGTTCTCCATTTACCCAAAGTGTCATGCATTTAATAGTTTTCATGTAACATCACTATGAGGAGCCCTTGGTTTTCTTCCAGCCCCAAACAGAAATCAAAATCAAACATTGAAATGTAGTGCCAACCAATATTTGTTTGAACTGCTGTCAATATCTTTTCTTCAAGATTTTGTCGATTATGGCATTGGTTTCACTTTCAAAATGCATGATTCGGTGCATGATCTAGCTATGTACGTTGCAAGTGTGGACTTTAGGGGAACTTCTTATGTTCACCATTTGTCTTTGACTGAAAACACAGGGCTTGATGAAATTCCATTTTCACAATTAGTCTTTACGAAGAGCATATTATTTCCTATTGTTGGAGTTGGATCAAACAGTACAGCTTTCTTGAATAGATGCATGTCAGTATGTAAACACCTGCGGGTTTTTTTTAAGCTATTCTGCATATGAGACCTTGCTGGCCATTGGGAAGTTGGTGCTTTTAAAATATCTCAGTCTTGAGAATAATAAAAAGATTAAGAGAATTACAGATTCTATTTGCAACTTCCTGAGGTTAGAAATGTTGATACTTAGTGGGTGTACAGAACTTGAGACACTTCCTAAAGGCTAAAAAAAACTTGATCAGTCTCCAACATTTGGAAACAACAACAAAGCAGCGCGTTTTGCCAGAGGATAAGATTGCAAACTTGAGTTCTCTTCAGACTCTCAGAATCTAGTTTTGCAGCATTCTAGAGTCATTATTTGGAATGTTAAAACTTCCAACTCTCAAAGTATTGTGTGTTGCTAATTGTAAAGCTCTAAAGTCTTTGCCACTTGACATTGAACATTTTCCTGCATTAGAGACATTGTTAGTTGACAACTGTGACACGTTGCAGTTGTCGGAGGAACGTCTGAGTTACAAATTTTTACTCTGTAAAGAAATGGTGCTAAAGGAAAATGATGTCCAGGAGGGAACTCCTAGCCCGTCCACAATTCAGCCCTGCATAGAAAGATTAAAAAGCAAAAATCAATAAACAGTTAACAGTTCAGTTCTAAGAAATTGTAACAAAGCAGAATTCTAACCATTCCAAAACAGATTACTAACAGAATTCCTCTTAAACTAACTTCTACTGCTAACTGCCAAACAGAATAACTAACTGAATAACAAACTAACTCTAGATAACCAACTAACAATAACTAACTGCTTTCTAACAGATTTTTGAAAGCTATATAACAGGGGGATCATTATGCAAGGAAAAGGAATTCATAATAGGAAAAAATTCACAAAGAACTCACAAAACCTCTGCAGCGTCCACCTCTGAACCATACTCTCTTCAAACCTTGACCTCCATCTTCAATATTCACTTTCCTTCCTCAATCTCACAACTCTTTGCACCTTCAATCATCACCCATCTTCATTATTTATCTATCTCAAGTTCTCTCTGTACTCTCTCAATTTTCTCGGCTTCATCTTCTTTGATCATCATCATCTCTTCGAATTTCATAACGATCATTCACAGAATTCTGAAGTCACTCTCAATTCCCTCTCCTCTGCATAAAATCTCTCTGAATCAGAGCATCTTCGATCTCTGTTCTTCCTCGCATAACATCACAACTGCATTTATCCTGCACCATATCAACGTGCAACTCTACATATAAGCAACAACAAATCTAGAAGAATTCAATGGTTCTCATAAACATTCGGAAGACAACCAAAGAAGCATGAAAGAAATAAGGAGAAGAAGAATTTACCTCTGTATTTCTCGCTCAACATCATTGTTAAAGAACCACCAGAGTATCTTTGGCCAGTAAGCTTCGACATTCCTCTGTCTTTTTTCTTTCGCCCTTTTCTACTGTTTGTTGTATCATAGAATCTAAATGAGTCAGAGGCATGATATACGACGGATAATACCATAGTAAAGAGGCGAGAAACTCGTACCTGATACAAAAGTTTGAAGCACGACGGACCATTTCCATCAAGGCCTGCACTCATTTCCGTCGGAGTTGTTGATTTCTAACTCTCTTCTTTCCTGTCTTGATACTAAGTTGTAGAGCATGAGGGGAGGAACAAAACTCCCATTGAATCATATGTGGAAGCTTCGATAGAAGCGTTTAATTTATGATCTAGGAAACCTAGGGGTTCAGTGATGACTTGAGATTCATAAAGGTACGAGCAGAGTCAATGGAATGAGGTCGAGGGTAATTGAGGCCGAAATCGGAAAAGAATCCCCTGAATCGCTCTATCTTGATTGATCTCAAAAAGCCTCTCTTTCATTCATTCAAGGTGGAATCTGAAGAAGACATGTTACCTTGGCTATGCTAAGCGATTGGCCTCCTCGTTGACAGGTTGCATCAATCTTCTCTCGGCGCTTGGGAGGAGATAAGTGGAGAAGGTAAGGGTGAGGAGGTTGAGGCCGCCATTTTGAGAAGACGCGAGAGGGAGAAGAAGTGACCGCGCCGCTGATGTGTTGGTGAAGAAGAATCGCGACGGTGAAGGCGAAGAGAGAATCACCGGCCGCCGTTGTAAGAAGAAGGAGGTTAATCGGAGTTGAAGAGCAATGAATTTTCGCGGCGCCGGTTGAGACGAAACCCTATCTACTCTCCAAACGCGGCGTTCTAATGTATCTTCTAACCATTGTTTTTTTTAAAAGTAAATGATAACAAAAATGGGAATTGGACTTGTGTGAAGGATCATGGACCGATCCACTTCCCCCTAGGCCTAATGAAAGATTTTGTGTACAAAAAAAATGCTTATTGGACCTTTTCTTCATGGGCTTAATGCCTCAACCCGCTTCTACACCTCCCTAGATTCCAGTTCATACCTCCTTCTGATTCATTGTTTTTTTTTGTTTTAATTTTGTTGTTTTAATTCTTTCACCAAATTTTCTTCGGCTGTTTTTTCTATGATAAAAACAATATAAAAAAAATAGTAGCATATATTTTTTAGAATATTTTAGAATTTCTTTTTTTTTAGAATTTCGATTAGAGTTTCTTTTTACTATTTTATTTTTCATATTTGGTAATCATTTTTGCCATTTTTAGTCAAGATTTTTGTGATAGCATCGATGTAATTCTTGCAATGGGAAATGCTTGGAGATTAATTTTTTATCACTCATGCGAAGCAACTTCTGTAGAGTTTTCTTATCGCTTACGTGGCTTCGAAGAGGCAACGGACCTTCTCCGTTCGGTATCGTCACAACCCTATTTTTTTTTCTTCTTCATTTCCATACTTTATCGCAATCCATATGCATGATAACATTAGGTAGAATCCCTCAAATTCTAACTTTAGGTCATACAATGCACAATAACATTAGGTTTAGAAATAGGCTAGTCCCTCTTTGACTTTCTTTCCCCCTTTGCACATGCATTTAAAACAAAAATTTCTTTTTTTTACAAACTTCAAAACACTAAAAATTTACTGACGAGAATCGTGCCTTCGTTGAACATGGATACGATAAGCGGGTTTCTTCTCGACCTTATTATTCTCTTGTTCTAAGCTTTGGTATGATTCAAATCTCAAAGAATCATTTCATGAATAAGTAGAGACATGGCTAAAATCTCTCTCTTGAGGTCAACTGGCTGTTACCTACAAGCAAAAACACCGACAAATACAAACTCTTTTTGCCTCTGGGCCTTCCTTTCAAACTTTTTTTTAGAAAGAATATGTTAATTCACTTCTGTGCCGACGCGTAAATCTTTGAAGGTCGAGTTGCGGCAGAAGGCGAAATTAATATAGTTCATCACAAGCACAATCAAATTCAAACTTTTTTGTGCGTCCAGGCACATTTCTTTCCAAACTTTTCAAAATAGCATATTAATTCACTTATGTGCTGACGCGTAAATCTCCAAAGGTCGAGTTGCGGCAGAAGGCGAAATTAATATCGTTCATCAAAAACAAACAAATTCAAACCTTTTTGTGCGTCCAGGCACATTTCTATCCAAACTTTTCAAGAGAGCATGTTAATTCACTTCTGTGCTGACGCGTAAGTCTCCAAAGGTCGAGTTGCGGCAGAAGGCGAAATCAATATTGTTCATTAAAAAAATACAAACAAACAAAAACATATAAGCCGAACTACGGCTACTCTGATTCCTTAAAAGGGATACGTAGGCATTGGGGTAGGGCCCAAGCGAGCATAACTTTTATTTTCCCTACATTTTTCCCTTCCTTTTGCATGCATTCTCCCTTAGCAATGATAGACAGTAAGCATAGATTAAACGCACCCATAAGATAGACGACAAGAGTGGATACCGTAGAGTACTACGGGCGTGTGGGGTGCTAATACCTTCCCCTCGCGTAACAGACTCCCTTACCCTTTTCTCTTGGTCGTTCGACCTTGATTTCACCCTTTTCAGGTTTCCTCGATGTTTACCTTTCCCTTCCTGTGGGATAAAAGACGTTCGATGGCGACTTCATTGTTTTAATGATTTTTAGCCGGTTGTTTCACTTACTCTATATTTCTAGCATTCTAATTTCATATAAGCTTCATTTTGTTTATTATCACAGTTGTGATATATAGTTTTTCTAGAAACATCAAACACACATTTTGTTCATTTATCTGTAAAAGAATTTCCTTGAGAAACCGGTATGTGGTTAGACTCAAGAAGGCTTTAGCAGTTGTTAAAGCAGTTTTGTATTCAGTTGAATATAGTGGATTAAGACCCCGTTGGAGAGAGGCAAAATCACCTTGACGGGTGGACTGGAGTAGTTTGAGATCAAACGAGCCAGGATAAAAATAACGTGTTGTCTGCATTTGATTTCAAGTTTTAACAATTCAACCCCCCTTCTTGTGTTTTTCACATATTCAATTGGCATCAGAGCGCATGGTTCTGAGTTCATAACACTTAACCGTGTCAGTACAAGATCCCGCGTTTGAAAAACACTATGGCAGGAACACATCAAAACATCAGCAATGACAACAACTAAGAAAGAGACAGATTCAGTGGCAAACCTCCAGTCTTTAATGGAGAGAACTTTGATTACTGGAAAGACATAATTGAAAGCTTCTTTCTGGCCCATGATGCTGATCTGTGGGATATGGTGACAGATGGATACACGTACCCAGTGAATGCAAATGGTCAGAAGATTGACAGGAAAGCAATGTCTGATCAACAAAAGCGTGATTTCAAAAACCATCACAAGGACAGAACAATTCTTCTCAGTGCTATCTCTTACTCTGAATATGAAAAGATATCAAACAGAGACACTGCAAAGAATATGTTTGATTCTCTGAGAATGACGCATGAAGGCAACCTTCAAGTTAAAGAAACTAAAGCTCTTGCGCTCATTCAGAAGTATGAGGCATTCAAGATGGAAGAAAGTGAATCTATTGAAACAATGTTCTCAAGAATTCAGATTCTGGTTGCTGGTCTCAAAGTTCTGGACAAAGGGTATTCTACTGTTGATCATGTTAAGAAGATCATCAGAAGCTTGCCAAAACAGTGGAGGCCAATGGTCACAGCGCTGAAGCTAGCTAAGGATCTCAATACAATCTCTCTGGAGGAACTTGTCAGCTCCCTCAGAAGTCACGAGATAGAGCTAGAAGCTGATGAACCTCAAAAGCAAGGTAAGCCATTAGCTTTAAAATCTAACAGAAAATTTGACTCCAAGGTTTTGTAGGCTGTTGAAGAAACCTCTGATGGGTCCTCATCAGAAGAAGATGAATTGTCTCTCCTCTCCAGAAGGGTGAACCGACTGTGGAAGCAGAGGCAAAGAAAGTTCAGGAATCCCAGAAGATCA